GTCACCAAGATGCCACTTTCCAAACATATATGTAGCATATCCAGCTTTAGAGAGGAGCTCAGCTATTGTTACTTCTGTGAGTGGTAGTGGTTTGTTCTCTGGTTTTTGGAAATCTGCAGTATAACCACCAGCATTTGCTGTCCAAACACAATATCTGCATATTAGAAATAAGTAAAGAAGTGATAAAGAAAAAGTATTCTAATACCTGTTGTGATTCCTCCCTGTTAATATTGTCCCCCTAGTAGGAGAGCAGACTGGTCCACCACTATAGTACCGGTCCAGTCTGATGCTGTTGGTGGATGAAGCCATATCATCAAGATTAGGAGTGCTTGCCTTCCCACCATTATAACCCACATCACCATAGCCAAGATCATCAGCCATCATGAAGACAATGTTAGGACGCTCATCTCCTTTAGAAAAATGGACCAGGAAACAGAAACAGAGGAGAATGTAAAAATTGCTAGCCATTTTTTCATGCATGCAGAATTTATTTGGGTGTGGCTCATTAATTAAAATATTCATTGAAAAGGGCGTGGTTTGTTTTGTCACGCCCCTATTTTTATTTTCCATTTTCAGCAAGAAAGAAAAAATGGTTTGATTAACTTGTATCGCTATCCCACTGGCCGTCATGCTCTGGAAGGGGCTGATGATGCTGGTGGATTGGTGTAGGGGGAAGAAGAGGGGAGAGGAAAAGAAGGAGAAGGTAGAGGGCAAAGAGGTCGGCCCAGGAGATGAAATAAAAGAGCTACCTTCTCTAGAAGAGAAAGAAGGACTTAGGTAAAATAAGGAGAGCAAGAGAGGGGTAGTTTAAGGGGTTAGTCTTCAGATTAAGGAAGAGAAAAAAGTCTTAAACGTTTTGCTTTATGTGAGGGAGGTTTTATCTTGTTTTTTGTAGACAACGTCAAGTTCAAGAGGTTGATGATGATTGTTCGACCTGACAGTAAAGAACCTCTCCGTACCACTACCACCTGATATATATATACACAGACATACAGTGACTGTATTGATGACGAGTGTAGCTAAAACCAGTTCTAATATACTGGAGGCTATCCTCTGATGAACTGTGTCTTTATATCAGATATTTATATTGTGTATCTACATGTATGTGGCCATCTTGTTTAGTTGTTCAATAATAATTATGAAAGTGAAGTTATCATAACTATGTGTGACTAATATGTGCTTTCTCTCTAATAAAAAGCCAGGCACCACTTTTGTCTTTGATTATAATAGTAAGAGTACAATCATATTAACATGCTAATTTCTGAATTAAAGAAATGGGCTTACCAATAAAAATTAAAAGACAATCATAGATGAATAAAACCCTTTGCTATGGGTGAAATGTCTACACGTACTTCAATAATTAAAATTGCACAAAGCCTACTGACTACAAGAAATTATGTTAGTTCAATTGTTCAGTAAAATGGAGATATGTTCATAGACTAGTACTAGCTGCATTCAGTCAGCTTGCTTCTTTAATCTGCGACGGAGTTCAACAGGAATCTTGTCAAAGCACTTCTTGCAGTACGGCCTCTCGTCCATGTCTATGTACTTAGCTCCGCCCCTTAATAAAATTAATGATAGCAATAAATTATAAATAAAATGTAAAGTAAAATGTAGCTAAAAGTAGGTGGGATTTTATGAATAAAACTAGGGCACTATATAAAACCTATGCTTTTTCCAGAAATTTTCTGTTATTCAAAAAGGTCATAACTCAAAAAATATTTGTCAAAATTAACTCAAACTTTCTATTTAGCATAAGGACATCAATATGTATCAAAAAATGTAATGAGAATTTGGGGTGATTTTGGAGCCATTTTTTGGAAAAAACCATGGGCTATAGCCTTGGGCATTTAAAAAAAATTGGCTCGTTTTTAAAAATGCTCATAACTTGAAAAATATTTGCCGGAATCAGCTCAAACTTTCTACACAGCATAAGTACATCAATATGTATCAGAAAATTGAATAAAAATTGGGGGTGATTTCGGAGCCAATTTTTGGAAAAAACCATGGGCTATAGCCTTGGGCATTTTTCAAAAATTGGCTCGTTTTTAAAAATGCTCATAACTCGAAAAATATTTGCCGGAATCAGCTCAAACTTTCTACACGGCATAAGTACATCAATATGTATCAGAAAATGTAATAAAAATTGGGGGTGATTTCGGAGCCATTTTTTGGAAAAAACCATGGGCTATAGCCTTGGGCATTTTTCAAAAATTGGCTCGTTTTTAAAAATGCTCATAACTCGAAAAATATTTGCCGGAATCAGCTCAAATTTTCTACACGGCATAAGTACATCAATATGTATCAAAAAATGTAATAAAAATTGGGGGTGATTTTTTAGCCATTTTTTGGAAAAAAGCATGGGCTATAGCCTTGGGCATTTTTCAAAAGTTGGCTCATTTTTAAAAATGCTCATAACTCAAAAAATATTTGTTGGAATCAGCTCAAACTTTCTATGTAGCATAAGGACATCAATATATATCAGAAAATGTAATAAAAATTGGGGGTGATTTTGGAGCTATTTTTGGAAAAAAACCATGGGCTATATATAGCCTTTGCTTTTTTTTGAAAATTGGCTCATTTTTAAAAATGCTCATAACTCAAAAAATATTTGTCGGAATCAGCTCAAACTTTCCACACAGCATAAGGACATCAATTATCAATATTACTATGGTCTTACCTTGAGGACAGTAAAGTGTCACAAGCAGTGCAATTGAAGTGCTCAATACACCAAGACTTGTTCAGAACCGTAACAACTAAAAATAATAAAAAAAAAAAAAAAAATAATAATAATGTTAAAACTGTTTAGCTTTAGCTTGCAATGCAAAGCCTACCATCTCCCTTGCAAGGCTTGTTACATCCAAAGCACGTATCACCATACAACTAAGAATTTAAAAAAATATAAAATTCACATAACATCAAACCACGCCCACAAAAATAGTCCGACCACACCCCCAAACATACGGTTTGATAGTCCCTCTCGCAGTAAGCGAGTCCCTTCCTCTCGTAATGCCTCCTTCCTTCAAACGGTTGCTCGCAGTAAGAGCACACAAAATGCTAAAAAATAAATATTTTTTATAACAAAATCCCTCTCTCCTCCTATTACCTCAGGATGCCAGGTTCGGCCCACGGCATGAATGACACGCCCCTCAATTGGACGCCTATAGACATATTGTCATCACGAGAGAGGAGATTATATACTTACCTGCAGGCGCCACATATTGATGACTCCATGTTGTCAAAGCAGCGAAGACAATAGAGGTCTCCATCTTTCTCACGGCAGCGTGCAGTTAGCTGCTTACTGAGGGAGAAAGAGAGAGAGGGAGAGAGAGAGGGAGAGAGAGAGTGACAGAGTGTTATTCTGTTTTGGACTTGCAGAAACATCTCAAAATAAGGCAATATGATCATAATTAAATTAATAAAATAATATTCGATGTTGATATTAGTTGATACAAAAACAGACTTATTTACCTGCACTTGGAGCAATTAAAATGGTGGGCGTGAACTGTCTGAAATTTATACGTGATATGATCGCCTTGATCCATTGGTAAACTGATAATAAATGAAGATTTTGCCTAACCACACCCATTAATTACCTGCACTTGGCACAGAATTTCTTTGCTCCTCCTGTGAAAGAAATATACTGAAGTTTACTGATAATATACTGAGGGGCACGTACCTTTGAATTCACTGTTGCAACGCTTGCATAAAGGCCTTGAAAAAATTAATAAATTAAAAGAACACAATGATATACATATATATACCTTCCTTGGTTCTTGACAAAGCCAATATCAGCCAACTCACAATGACAGTTCACACATTTGAAGCATTTTGGATGCCATGACTGGCTAACAGCTCGAATGACACGACCAATAACAAAATCACCTAAAAAGAGTGGAGGAGAGAGGGAGAGAGTGGGAGGTAAAGAGAATGTGAATGATCCATAAACTATTTAAGTTCTTAGTTACCACATCCACTGCAGCAGGGAGCATAAAGTGTCTTGTAGTCCTGTTCACAATAACGTCTGCCTTCATGCTGAAGGAGAGAGAGAGAGAGGGGGGAGGGAGGGAAGAATTAAATAAAACGTTTCATAGTACTTACTTCAAAAAAGACTCCTTCGGGAAATGGTTGAAAGCACTGTACACAACTAATTCAAAAAAAGAAAATAAACTTGTTACTCTCTCTCTCTTTCTTTTCCTTACACAAAACAAGTCTCGTGCCATACGTGGCCTCCAGCGTTAACCATGCCATCAGTAGGCTCAAAAGGATCCTGGCACAAGTTACAATAACCACCAAAGTCCATGTTTCTCTCGATATGCTGAACCTTTTTGTTGTGGTGGTAAAAATAGGTGGGGCTTAACCCTTGCCACACCCATCACAAATATGCATTGCTTATACTGTGGTTCAAGGTCTTTGGTAAAAAATAATATTAGAATCAACAGATCAGTTTTAGTGCACAAATAATTAATAATAATAATAATAATAATAATAATAATAGTAAATAATATTAATGATATTTGAAATACAAAATAATAATGATGATACTCAGATGAATGTCAAAAGTAACCGGATGTAAGAAAATGATCATAATGATATCAGTTCATGTATTAAGACTCATGTTTTCTGAAAGACGGTGAATTCTTCTTCGCTCTCGGAGTCAAAGGTTTTCAGCTGAGTGAAACCTTTCTTTCCCCCGGAGCCGGTCGCTTGCAAAAGAACGTCCATCCTCTTCTTAGGATGGCGGGAGTAATGTCTCCTAACTTTAAAGAGCGGTCTATTAAGACTGCTTCGTTTCTTACGAATGGCAACAAAACCGACCAGTAATAATATAAGGGAAAGGATCATGAGCATTATAATTACTAATATCGCAACAGGGAGGACCGAGATTGAGCTTTTAGTACTTCCTGAGGTGCTTTGTGTCTGATCACTGGTTTGACTAGGTAAGGAAGGATCAGATAGGACCACACTAGGAGTGTATTGTGATGCCGTTCCACCAGTTGCTGTTGTATTTAAACTGATTGGAGGTGGGGGCGGACGGGGACACAGGTATGTGTCTTCCTCTAACGGAGAAGAAGAGGGTACACAGGATGGGGTCGTCATGAATGAAGAGGGAGGAGGGAAAGATGATTCATGAACTACAAAATAATAATAAAGTAATTAAGACATTGTACACAAATAATGCAAATAATGGTCATTTGTATTTGACATGTAGGGTCACCAATTTTAAAAGTTACAGGCACATAGAAATGGATAAACATATGCCATTATCAAAAAAGGCAAATTTCTGATGGATCATACTATAACACATGGTTTTGCCGAGATACATGTATGGCACTATAAATCACTTCCAATTTTAGTTGCATGGACATACCATCAAATTTCCAGACTTTATTGGGCCCAATTTCAGCAACATAAATAGCAGATCCATTCACATTGACAGCGATGTCGTGAGGTTGAGTGAAACCCTGCAATCAAAAATAAATCAAAATAATAAATTAAAAAATTAAATCAAAATCTCCACTGACTTACTTTTTCATTCAAATGCGGATACCAGGTATCAACGACGTTCCCTTCTTCATTTATCGTAAAACCCACGGACCGCAGTCTCTCGTCCATCGACCCATTGATGGCATACATGGGCCAGTTCCTTGCTTTGTCAGCAAAAGATATAGCGTAAATGGCTCCGCCTAGTTTATCCGAAGACACAAAAACACTCCCGGAGCCGGTGAGGGTGTTGTACTCTATGATTCGATAATTCTCCCTGTCGGCGACATAGAGGGTTTCTCCATCACTTGAAAGAGCTAGACTATGAGGTACTTCAAGTTGGAGTCCGTCGACTTTATTCGAGTATTGAGTAATGTAGGATCCTTTCTTACTGAATACCAGAATACGATGATTACAATAACTGGAGGAGAAAGCAGTAGAGATAAATAATGATAAATTTGTTGAGATAAATAATGATAAAATTTGTTCTTTATAAATGTATAAACATATGAATGCTGTTCTTCTTGTTTTATTATTATTATTATTGTCATTATTATTATTATTATTATAAAATGCACTAGTTCTGTAACATTAAAATTACACAAAAAGTAAAAAATTAAAGTTTCAATTGTAATCAAAATTAAATTCTTACCCATCAGCAACGTATATCCTGCCCCTCTCTGGGTCGAAGAGAACCGCTGCCGGCTTACAAAAATGCTTCTTGTCGCTCCCAGGATGAAAGGCAGCACCCAAAGCTAGTGGCCTTTCATTTTTAATGCTAGACAATTTGAATATTTGATGCCTGGCAACGTCAGTCATCCATAATGTGTCATCAGGATCAATGGAGAGACCGTGTGGAAGGTAGAATATGTCCTTGCCCCATTTTGTAATGACGGTTCCGTTTGGATCTGTTACTAGGATAACTGACTCTGTGATTGGACCTTTCTCTCTCTCATTGTAATAATCAGACACAGTGAATGAACTGGGAGGGGGAGAGAGGGAGAGAGTATTTCTTATAAACAGGAAGAGCATAAGACAATTATTGAAAATTAGGACACAAAAATTAATACAAAAATGGCAAAGACTTTGCTTTATAATTAGATTAGCAATAAAACAGCACACACACTTAATTTATTCTCTCTCTCCCCCCCCCTCTCTCTCTCTCCCCCCCTCTCTCTTTCTCTCCCTCCCTCTCTCTCTCCGCTCTCTCTCTCCGCTCTCTCTCCCTTACTTAAAATCCCATACGTGGTTACCGCGATGAAACATGTAGACCAGGTCATTGCTATCAACATCAATGCCAGTCACTTGACCAAACTGGACACCCAATAACCCGTTGATACTACTAGAAGAATTCAAATAATTCATCCTCCAGTCCTTAGCAAGGGTAATGATGGCCGATGGTTTATGAGTAGGTGGAGTTGAAGGAGCAGGCGTGGTCACAGTAGGCGTGGTTTCTTGATTACTGTCCTCATTATGTGTGTCGGTGGATGACGTGTTTTCTTCTTGCGTGATGAAATCAGAGAGACTTGGGAGTTTAAAATCAGGGGTTTCATAGCAGACAGGGTCTGATATTTTCCTTCCGTTGTTATCAGTATAAAACATAATGTAGAAGTTGCACATTTCATTGCTGGACTCAGGGCTATAGGAGGAGATACATGTAAATAATACAGTACAAGTGAAATTATGAAATAATACAATATGTAGGTAGAGCAGCTTTAAAAATTTGTAAAAAAAATCCAATTTTAATCGGAATCAACTCAAACTTTCTACACAACATAAGAACATGTATATGCATCAAAATAAATTATAAAATTGAAGAATTCTCTCCTAGTCATTTTTGACAAATATAGTACAGGGCTTCGGCCGTATTTTTGCAATTTCTAAAATTCACTTCAATTTTGATTAGAATCAGCTTCAAAATTTGTAAACAACATTAAAATGTAACATATGCTATTTATTTAGGAGCTCCAAGGGCCACCGCCTTATAAAACAGACACAACAGCATCAGACTAAACATGGCACTTAGACTTACCCAAAATATACTGAAGAGGACTTCTGACTGGTATTGTAATGGCACCGTGCAGCCTATAAAAAAAATAATAAATAGAGGCAATATAAATTAACAAAAATAATCAATTTTTAATAAATTAATTACCAAAATATCTCCAGGATGAACTTCAATGCCGGGCTGGCTGGGATAAAATGCCTACACAGTACACAGGGCAATATGACTCAAGAAGTTATCAGGAGAGAAATACCTGAGGCTCCTGTGGGCTATGGTGACCAATCAGACTCCACTTCTTTGAAGAATGTGAATACAAGAAACCAGCAATCAGCGGACCTACACAAGGATCACATGACTTCATATCACATGAGGATCACATGGTCACTTACTCAAGGAGTGGGCGTGTGTCCTAAACCCAATAGGGTAGATTACATTAGGACCCTCGAATTTACAGGCAACTGGTACTTCAATGTCTACAATATACAGTAAGTCATCTGATGGTCAAGGGAATGTAGTAAAGGGCTCACTTTGCTTGTGTGGTGGCAAAGAACCTATGAATCCATTTAAAAGATAAATAGCAGCAACCTTAGGCTGATGAGTAGTAGTAAGCTTGAGCTTCAGATGAGGATAATCAGCTAATAAATAATAATAGTAATAATATTAATTGTTATTCTAATTTTCATTTCAAAACTTAACCTGACCTGACATAAATTTATTTACTTTATTTTATTTTATAATAACAATAATAATAGCTATAATAATAATAGTTATAATAATTATTAATATACCTTTGTCGTGTGGTGTATCATGAAAATGAACCTGCATTACAGCATAGTTTATTTTAGAACTGCCTCCTATCTTTAAACCAACACCTAAAGAAAATAGTCAACATGTACATGGACACAGATGATTTCTTGCAAATTTCTTAATATAAATTTCATCAAAATTTAAAAGGTATAACATTAACTCTAATAGAAAAATAACTAACAAACAGACGATGTACACATGTACATGTTTATCATAATCATAATGAGGAATGCTGCTACAGTAGTAGTATTTACTGTCACTTGTTTTGTTGTTTATTTTTGCACACAGAACGAATGCCTAAGTCAGACACTCCAGAAGAGTGAAGTCACTTTCAAAAGTGCATTCATAAAAAATTGTTAAGCAGTGACAAAAATTAAAGGTACTTTTTTAATAGTTGATAAACTATGACGTAAGGCATTAGTCTACAATGTACATGTACATGCATGTACTTCATACATGTATGTGCACATGTAGTGCACATGCTCAATGAGTGTGAATAGTGAGAGAGGGAGAGTGAATTGATAACAAATTAATTTACAAAGACAAAAGGATTTGTATTGGCACTATAAAAGAATGGCAAAAGTACAAAGTGAAAACTGGCAGAAAAAAACACATAAACAAGCCCAGCGATATTTTGCTACAAAAATAGAGTTTACCAAGTGTTACAAGTGTAGTTTAATCAACTTTAATGTATGTGTGTTACCTTTAGGAAAGGTAAGGCCAGGAGCTTGTTTTGCCCATGCATACATGATGGAAGATTCACCATCAGCACATATATTCTGACTCATACAATCCCTGGGGAGAGAGATGAGAGAGAGGGGGGGAAGAGAGAGAGAGGGGGGAGAGAGAAAGAGGGGGG